CATAACACAGCAAGAGTTTTGAATTATTTAGCACTCCATTTAAGAAAGGTTTTAAAATCCAGAACAAACCGTCCCTACTCAGAAAGAAAATTTGTTTTTGTGGTTAAGGTGAAACTGGAAATTCAAGACGCATGTTAATTCCTAGTCTGCATGACATGGGAGTAATTTGATTCTCTGTGTCCCAGTTCCTCACCTATAAAATAAAGCTGAAAATACTACCTTTTTTTTAAAGGCACCGCCTTTTAGATTAACAGCTCACAGAGCAGATATTACATCTTACTTTGTATTAGGTACAGCATTCAGAGTCAAGATGCTATAACCTATACTAAAAACTTCAATTTATATGGTAGGATTTTAATTTTAACCTAATTCCATGTCATGTCTTGTCTTACTTGGGATGTACTGACTTAAAGGAAAGACAATAATAGCATCATACCTATGTTTCACACACCATAATAACCCTTGGAAGAAAAACTTACCAAAAATACTAGCTGTGAAAGCAAAAGAGAACAAGACCTGAAATATGATTGTAAACCTTGCACTGATACCAGCAACAGCTTCAGCTCACCCATACAAGCTGTAATTTGTTGCAGAGCTGAGCCTTTTACTCCAAGTTGCTCCATCAGCGACCGCCACTGTCATTGTATCTCCTCACTCAGCATCCTGCTGTTGCGTCCTCACCGGCTTCTCACCCCTCGCATCTCCACCACCCTTCACACCCAACATGCCGTACCACCGAGGGAGCCAAAAGCTGGAGGGTTACGGGGCGGGGGGGGGTGGGGTGACGCATGGGTCTAGGGAAGGGGACCGACCCTGCGCATCCCCCAGCAGAAGCATTGCTTTGCTGCCTGCCTCCCCTCAGGAGCGTGGGCTCTCACGGGGGCTTACTCTGCTCCGCTCCACACTGTCCTTCCAGCGTGGACATACCTCCCAAGAGGAGGCTCTCTGACCTCTTTGAACAGCTGCTGTTAACCCTAGAGCCTACAAAACCCCACTCCTCCGTGCCTGGGAACTCAGCCGTCAGCCTGAAAATCTGGGGTTTCCACGCGCTCGCGTGTTATTTTGCACGTTTCGAGCCAAGATCCCACCACACCAGCACGATCTCTCCGGGCCCTACTGCTCGGCTCGCAGCAAGCACCCTCATCTCCACGGGCAGCTCCGGACGCTCGCCCATGCGCCGAGCGTCCCCCCTGCCCCAGCACGGCCCCCGGCCCTCGCCCCGCAGGGAGCCGCTGCCCGCCGACCGCCCCGGCCTGCACGAACCAGCCGGGCCGGTTCCCCCCTCCAGGGCCCGCTCCGCCACACCCCGCGCTCTCTTCAGGCACACTTTTGTTCTTCAGGGAAACGCAGGCAAAACCGGCGCCGCCCCAGCCCACCGACTCTTCCCGTCACTCCAGGCTGGCTTTTGGTGGCTCTCTCCTCAGGGGAAGGAATGCCCGGCTCCTCTCTCTCCACCGGGTTTCGCTGGCTGACGCTGGCTTCAGCGGGGGTGCCTCTGGCATCCTACGCCAATTTAACGGCCAGGGCCTCTGCTTCCCTCCAAAACGGCCACTCCTTATGGGCCGACTTTGAGTGGGCTGCTTGAAGCACCTGCAATGGTCCCCGTTCCCACTCAGATTAACAGAAAGACTGCAAGCGTTTCCACACCGATTGCAACTGCTGACTACCAAACTAGCCTGGCATCTCGAGCTGTGAAATTCCCCACCAATGACTTCTAGGGACAGTCCTGCTTCTACCTTCAAGTTAATTTATCCGTTCAGAGCCCCGAACTGGATCCCAAACCCAGATTTCATACGTATGCAAAATAGGCCAATGAGTTAATTCATAAGAGGAACCGTAGAGGTCTGGATGGCTGGCAGCACACGCTAAATAATAATTCAGACAAACGTCGCCTTCCTATCATGATAAAGGACAATTGCACAGCACAGGCAAACACATCCCAAATAGACTGCGGTGCGATCTCTCTCCATACAGCCCCATGAGTCATGCTGAGTTAGAAAATACTTTATAAATGCTAGTAATGGCAGGCAATCCTTTTAATTAGATATGGCCTAATTAAAAAAGAATAGAGGCTTTTATAGTTCATGCCTCCCCAGTGTGCACTAGGGATCCCCACCGTCTGGCAAACAAGAAAAATGTTTGTATTATTTAATACACATAATGTTATCAGCAGAGCTTTAATGCAGGATTTAATGCATACACTCTGAATGTTGGCTGGTCAGTGTGCAGCCTAGATGGAGGAAGGTTGCAGGCATTTCACATCTCTAAATGAGATGCCAAAATGTCTCAAAATGATAAAGTACGCACAAGGAATTAGCTAAACCTCCTGGGTGTTTATTAAGCTGTATGTGGGTGTTGGGCGGATTCATTCAGATACAGTAAAAATTGGCCTAAAGCCGCAAAGTGACACCTCAGGTTGATGAGCTTCTCTGCAGACGTCAAGTAAGGAGGAGAGAGAAGCGATGCCAGTGCCCTCCTGCCCAGCCCTGTGCCTGCCCACAGCCCACAGCCCACCCTTCCACTCCCCTGCCACCTTCCCCAAAGGGGACCAGGCATTTCTGGCTGCTGAGAGCTGGCAAGTGCCACCGTACCAGCCCTCGTCCCTCGCCCCTCTGCTGCCAAGCCAGGAACAGCCATAGAAAGCAGAAATCCAGTGCTCCCGTGACCCGGCCCACTGGTGGCGCAGGTCCCTCTCATTTTCACATGCCGTTGTGTAATGCTTCCACTCTGCTGGGGGAGGAAGCAAAAATACCACAAGAAAAAGCACTTCCTGCAGTATTTCTGAGCTAGTCAAACCCAGGAAATAATGGAAATTACAGTGATGCACAGGCCACCAAGTTTCTTGAGCTTATTTTGCATTTCTGTTATTTCCTGTGCTCTTCACAGGAATATTTAAAGTCATAAAGAAGTTAAGCCTGCATGTATGATCATGATGGCATTAAAGTAGTAACAGCTTCTCTTCTCCCTGCACATATTTAAAGTAACAGATAGCAATACCCTTTAGTGAGCAATGGCCGTGCATCATGCTCAACGCACCGCCCCAGCCAGACTGCTCAGCCTGCAATCCCCTGGATCCTGGTGATGCTACAGACTAATCGAAGACCATTATTCCTGCTCAGGGCTCCCAGCAAGCCTGTCTCACAAAACAGCCCGGTGAGCTGAAGATCTGCAGCATCTCCCTGAGAGCCTGCTGCTTTGGTACAGCCGAAGGACGTCCATGGGTTTAAATCACCCTCCACGTTACCTACCTGCATGTGCAGGTGCCAGGGGCCGGCCGCTCCCCGGAGCCAGGATGAGCGGCCGGGGTCGCATGCAGGCAGGGCCACCACGGGGCCGGGGTTAGCTGGGGCTGCCCGACTCTGGCGTCGGTATTTCTGCTGAGAGTGAGTGCTGCTTTCAGCAGTCCAGTATTGATTTGCCTCACCCGAGGTCACCTTAGAAGATGATTTACATGAAGAAAATAAATTTTTTAAAAAGTCATTGCTGGGAGCAATGCTTGATTTCTAAATTCAGAGCACAACTGGGCACGTGTCTGAGTTCAGAGAGTTACCCAGTTCTTACTAAAGGCAGCAGGAAATCTTCTGCCCTCTCCATAGCTTTACACTGAAGATACGCACGATAAAATTTCTATCACTATCTCATCATTATAGCTCCAGAAGACTTAAAAGCAAAAGTCTGCTTTCTTATCATTTTGGCTTTTTCCCACCCAGCCTCAAGTCATCAGTGGCAATTCCTTTGTCTTGAAAAGGAAAAAGGGGTTTTGAAATTGAGTTCTTTCCAAGTATGTCGCCCCAATTTCATCATTTCCTTCCTTAGTGAAACACATACATTCACCTACTTTTTAATAAGAGAGAATCAGATGATACTTAGTCATCCGTTGCTCAAGGCTCTGCATGGGTGTCAGACAACGTGCACAGGACCTCACCAGTGTAATGTTGGGAATATGGCCTTGCCATCAAAGTTCTTTCATGTTTTTTTCCTAATGGCTAGCTAGATGCCATACACGCATAAGTGTTCCGCATCACTCCCTACAGAGGTCCCCAAAACCTTCTACTATGCTCTTTTCAGGTCTGAGGGTCACTCTTCACAATCTCTGTGAAGACTCCTTTGAGTACCGCAGTCCTGGAGGCGAACACTCGTGCCACCCATGGCAGCGAGCTGGCTGCTGCCCTGGCTTGCTCCCGCCAGCAGGCAGGGTGCAAACACCAACCAAAACACAAATGTCGCAGGAAGAGGCAAAACTGGAAGAGAGCTCAGTGGGACAGAGGCCCCAGCTCACTCCAGCCTGCCTGTGGCTGCATTAGACAACCAGGGCAAGTGTCCAAGGAGGGTGTAGATGGTGGGATGATGGTTAAGGCATCTTGACGTGGGATTTTCTTCTCCTCATATAGTGGAGCAGTGTGGAGAATGGCTGAAGGACCTGGGATGAAGAGCGAGAGTTGAGCCATGAGCAGAAGAGCAGAGGCAGGAGCTGATGTCTCTGTAAACCCAATGTTCAGTGTTCTCCTGAAGCAACTGATTAATACACAGAGATTTTTCTCAAACTGTATTTCAGAAATCTGTCATCTCAGCCAGAGCCTGTCAGCCAGAGCCACATTTATAACGGCTTGCTGTGCATTCGCCTTCCCTCAGAACCAGACCAGGCCTTTTGCCACCACCTGGGTCACCAGCTGGCCAGGCTGCTCTGCCTCATGGGCGGCTGCAGGACATGCTGTGCTGGGGACCTACAGCCACCACCTGTATCTTCACTACAGGAGTACCTGAGCAGCATGGCGTTTGTGCAAATGCAGCCTGGTTCTGAGAGCAAAGGGTCTGCACATCGTGCCTATGCATCCACACTCGAGCTGGATAAGGCTAAGCTTGCCATGTTACGCTCAGCTGTGCATGGCTATTCCTAGCATCTCTCTCCAAGACTTCATCTGCCATCAGCCTGTCTCCTTGGACAGCCATCGATCACCAGCCCCTTCCCTCCTTCACTCTCTCTCCTCACCCCGCCTCTCCAAGGAGTCACTCCTGGCCATGTCCAGGGGTCTGTTTCTGCTCCAGTTTGCCAAACTGTCCCTCCGTTTGTGGGCAGAGGACATCATGCTAGTCTCCTGTTACAAAGGGGATTGCAGATGCAGGAGCAGTAACTTGCCAGTCAGCCTGCACAGCTCCTCTGCCCCGCCACCGGTGCCTTCAAAGTCTGAACTATCAACCTAAAAAATACTGTATTCTTAAAATAGTTTAAAATTTATTATTCAAAATAATAACCTTAATAACCTTAAATAATACATTAGTCTGTGATAGATGGTAATTTTTTGAAGTCTTCACTAATGTACATATTTATGCACATAAAAATGTAATTATATGCTTTTTATAGTAATTTATCCTCTTTTCAGTCCACTACAACTATCTGTCAGGATGCTGTCAGCACTCCAAAGTGCTGAGTGCATGCAATGCCTGCTAGCTGCATCCAGGCACTTACAAAACGCACGCGTCAAGTGCTGTGCATTTCCCAGTGTCAGCACCATTTGCTTGACACATGACAGACAAATGGATGGATTTGGGCGTTCCTGCTGATCATTTTTTCCAGAGAATGGAGGCGTCTGTTCCTGCATCTGTTAATTGAAATACAGATAAGGTGTTAAGATTATCAATAAAAAACAAAGGTATTATTGCAACCCTCCAATACATTACCTTTGGAATTACACCAGGCTAATAAATGGTTGTCCAAGTCTACAGTAATTGGGAAGTGTCACTGAGATGCTGCTACCAACACAGCTGGGCCTGGAGCAAACATTTATTAAAGTTCCTTAATATGGGCTACTTAGCCATCCTTAACTAGGCTGAGTATTACTGTACTTTGCATTAAACCCAGTGAGATAAGCTATGTACACACCAGCTGAAGGAAAGGTGGCGTATTATGAATCCCAACGCTTGCAAGAATCATCTGACAAATAGATGCCCACTCTCATTTGGTATCACGGTAAGTTTGGCAACTACTTGCCAGGGTTATTCAGTGTATTAAGAGCTTCCTCACCACAGAAGTCTCCTTTGGCTCAGAAGGACCTTCAGCTTTGAATTTTGTATTAATGACTGGCCAAAGATGTGTTATAGTCATTTTCTGGAGCCATTAGCACCCAGGTATTTTCATCTTACATTTTCGGCCACCTCTGAGCAGACTAATACAGCAGTACCGTCAGGCTCTTCTGTCTCCATGACTGGATTATGTGAATTCAATTACACACTCCAGACAATTTTTTGTTAAGCATTTGCTTTACATCCCCATCCTGCACATTTTCTGTCCTTATCTGTAGGACAATGCTCTGTACTAACTTCGTGTTTTGGTTTTTTCTTCACACATTTAATTGCTTCATTTTAAAAATATATGCACACACCAGGCCCAATTTGCCTCTAACTGAAAATCGGAATGTTGAAGCTTATGAATTATCCCATTTTAAAATGAGTAAAATGAGAGGAGAATTAGGTAATTATGTGGGGGACAGTAGGGAGAAATGAGATACATCCATGTATTAAAATAAAAATGCAGGATAGTGTTTCCTACCCTGTTTTAAGTTTTATGAAGTTAATCTTTCTTTTCTTGTCATACATCAATATTCTACAGAAGTCTATTGTATTTTAGGTTCAACTGGATTATTTCATGTGAACATATTTTTTATTCATCCTGCTGCTAAAAGAAGAGAAGGGGATCCTGATATCAAATTCAAAACTGAATTTACGAGTGCTGCCCTTCAAAAGCAAGGACCAAGCAGGGGTGGAAGGATACAATGTTCTGGAAACATCAGAACAACTCAGAACTGTATGCAACTCTAGGAAAGGAAAACAGCACCTGTCTACAAACACCGAAAGAAGGTCTTCAGCCCCTTCTGCCTCCTGTAATGGTGTTGTGAATCCTTTTCATCAAAAGTATTTTTTCCTTCCATGATTTGAAATGCTGGAGATAAGTGAACACAACGGAAAGAAGGAATTTAACCAATGTTTAGTGGAATCAGATGGGACAAGGAGTGAATTTTCCCAGTCCTATAAGTTTCATGGAGATACTAATGTTGCTAAGATTTTTGCTTTGTAGATCATCCAAACCCAAAATTCTGCCAGGAAGAGCCCTGCTATCACTGGGAAAATAGATCCCTGTACGACAGGAGTACAGACTTGCCGAATACTCTCCGAATAGTCAGCTCCAGCTTGTGGATGCTGAACCACCCGTGTTGTGCCGTGTGGCTGCCAGACGTGACCCAATAACCTAGTAGGTACAGTTATGTCAAAATTATCATAATTCTACTAAAAAATCTGAAGGAAAAGCAATTGAGATAATAAATATTTAAGGTTCCCAGAGGACACTCTATTGAAGCAGGTCTGTGGCTTTCATAGCAGGGCCCAAGAGACTACCTTCAAAAAAGACATCAGCCAGTTCCTCCATGATAAGAATCTGTTTGCCTGAAGTAAATGGACAAGAAATCATGCTGATATAAAGGGAAAAAAGATCGATTATCACAGCTATTTTATACAGCTACTTTCTATGATAAATAAAGATTTCTGGTGAAGCAATCTCAATTCCTGTATGGTACATTATATATTCCTACTTATTCATTTACTTTCTAAGATGAAAGACCTGAGTGACTGCACTCGATTTGATATAATAATAATTAACGCACAACATTCCAATGTTGAATTTAGCAATGGTCTAAGCACATGATATTCATAACTGCTGAATGATTATGCCTACACATGCAAGTAAGAATGTTCCTCCTAGAGAAGCCCAAGAAAGCATAGCATCAAAGTTTTAAATGTACGAATGCACAGGACAAATGAAGAGAAAGAGGGAAAATAATTTTTTTTTTTTTTTTTAACTGAAAAACCTCAAAACTGTATTTTTGTCTACTATTTAGAAGACCTATGTGTAATGGCTGGCGAGGAGCTGGGAGAGCTGCAGACAGCAAATGTTTTATCCACGGTGAACACAGTTTCCCTTCCTTCTTAGCAGCTGGCTGGGAGGAACTAAACTTAGCAGGCCTGAGGTGTAGGAAACCAGATAGCACGGTGTATGGCGAGATAGGAAATACAGGGCTCAATGTGTTTGAGGTTAAGATTAAGCCCTGACTTCCTTTGAGTCTATTTTAAACAGTGGCAAATGATGGCATGCTTTCTTACAACAAAATGACAGATGATGAAAGGTTGAATATGATCTGTATGTCAAGCATTTGTACAAGGACCTTTCTTTGAGGGGCTGGGCAGGAAGCATTTTAACGTGGTGTCTCATACTTCCCCTCATCTGTGTTTGTTCAAAACACACCAGTAACTGGGGAAAGCTGGAGAACTGGCTGCAGATAATTGGCCAAATAGCGTGTGCCTGCAAAAGGAGAGCAGTTGGGTTTGGACAGCGTGGACGAAAGATCACCATGGCCCCTGCCATCGCTCATGTGAGGAAAACAGTAAGGCAGCACTCGCCATGCTCACACTGTCAGGTGTACAGCTGGGAAACAAAGACAAAACATGTTGAGGCCATCTTTACACATTCATCTTTCTGGAGGTAGTCAGGGATCAAAGCAGAAAAAGTGAAAAAATGTTTTGGAAACCACACTTTCTAACTGCTATTTTAAATACAGTTTTGCAACACCTGCCAATGGCAAATAGGATGCAAGAATCGCTGTGTCATGCTGACTACAGATTGCATAATTGCTAAAATTGCTATTAGTATGTATGACCCATGATTGGTGCTGAGGCAACCTAAGGAAGACTTTACCTTCACGCAAGATTGAAAAACACACAAGAGAAAGACAGTCTTTGTCCCAGAAAGCAAGGGGGTACCGGTACATGGTAAATGCCACAGCCACGTCATCTATCGTAAGGCTCACTTCCCTCTCACCCTCCCTCTCATACCTAGAAATCTGCAGGACAAAAGCCTGTGTTTGAAAACTCCTTTTCATCAGATTTTTCATCTTGCTTCAAACAGTGCTGCAACAGTCCACAGCTTTTCAGCTCCAGCTCTGCTCTGGAGCCCCCAGGCACCTCTGTAGCTGGCCCTGCGAAATATTTGTCCTACTTCACTAAGGCAAAGGAACAGCTTGCTAAGAAAGATAACTGCGATCACTTTGCTCCTCTGGAAATCCATAAAAATCAATTTATTTATTACAGAAAGTGTTTTATTAAGATGAAAATAAAGCTATCTGTTCAGCCCAGAATTTCTGAGGATCCTGCTGACAGCACCTCCTCTCATGAAAAATGATGTAATTTATAAGTGTAGCTGTGTGCACTCTTAAAAAGCAGCATAAAGCCTGCTTCCATGGCGATCTGATACTGGCTTAACAGAGCAGGGAGAATTTTAAAGTATAGAATATTAAATATGTATCTGAATCAGAAAAGCATTTTCTGGTGTTAGGTAGGGGAGAAATTAGGAGAGCATTTTGTAAAAACCCATAGTGTTTTCTCTACACCCTGTCCTTCTGCCTCTGGCAGCACAGACCATTTCACTTGCTCTCAGGATCCTAGCAGGAGTCGTGGGAACAGTGATCTGAAGCACAATTTTAAAATGCACACTATGGTCCAAACAGTGGGAGGTGAATACCCTCTTAAACTCCTCTGGGTTGTACAGAGAAATACTGGTACCATTTACACGTGACCTTTCTAGACTTTGTTAGCTTTTTGAGTGTTTCTATGAGCAATATCAGACTACAGCCAGCTCTGAGTGTGAGTGAACCCCCATGAAGAAAGAAGATGGTGGGTACCTCATCCTACAGAGGAAGTTAAATGTGATGTATGTCCCCATCTTCCCATGGACAGCAGGAGGGAACCACATAGCCCTTCTCCTGCTCAGCCGGCTCTTGGCAGGTATCTCCAAGCTTCTACAAAACAAGCAGGGGAAGGAGCCTAAAGCTCGTTTGCCAGCCACCATAGAGAAACAATTTGGCACAAGCAATAGATGGGTATTTTACCACTCTGAGCAAAAAAACTCATCAGCAAGGCAAACATTAGAGGAAAAAGATGGGGAACACACAATACATGAACATAGAACTAGACTAAGAGCCAAGAGGTACAAACCATAGGTTTTGGGCTAGTGGCTGAACTACCAAAAAGTTGGGACCAACACAAAGATCCAAAGCATTCTCATTCGATGCAAAGTACTCGTACTGACAGAAAAATGGGAAAAAATATCCCAAATGCCATTCTGAGTTAAAACGAATATGTTGTTCAACAAGTTTTAAGTTTTGGATTTTGTAAAAACCACTTTATATGCTTTTTTTTTTCCACACAAAAGTAGTCACTTTCAAAACAAAAACATGATTTTGCTCAATAACATTTGGGGGTAGAATTTTCAGTGGTTTTGAAATTGAATGTTCTGTTTAGAAAACACTAAAATATTTTCCAAGTGCCCTAACTCCACCTTGCATCTCTGGCTGAAAGCTTTTGCTAAATTCAAGATAAAATCACTCATGGTTCCAGTCCCTGTAACCTCTTTTCTGACAGATGGTCCAGCTCTAATGGACAATTAACAAGTGTGAAATAGGGACAATATCTCAACAAAGCGTTTAGCTCAGTTCTGGCCCATTCCTCTCTCAGATGTCAAAACAAGCAGGAGCAATTCAGGTAAAGGCAGGCTGTGTGACTGGGATAAGCTGATAGGAGGACATGAGAATCCTCTACCTGGCACCTCCTCGTCCCACAGCTTGAGTGTCTTCCTACATCATGGCAGCTGTTAACATTTCAGCACGTACGCTACAGTCCAGTATGAACAGCGAAGCCATGGGGAATAAAAAACACAAATATCTCTGCCTTCAGGTTTAAAAGTGCAGCAGAATTAAGGTATTCATTCTCCCAGCTGTGAAGGAGCCCCCAAAATGTGCCTCAGAGTAGACAGAAGAGATCAAATGCTGCCACAGTGACAGGTACGAAGGTCAGCAGGGCCGCACTTCCTCATTCATTGTACCCGTTTTAGACTGACCACCAGCAAAAGGGATCACTCTCCAGTATGACCCCCATCAGAGAGCTGCCACCACCGAGCCCTCACCACCTCCAAAGCGTACAGTGTAGGGAACACAAAGGAGCACATCTTGGGGTAGGAAGGGCTATGGCTGAGCCATGGGAGCTCTCTGCAGCTGCTGGAGTGGATCCCGGAACACATCCTCATGCTCCACCTGACACTGTGTGGCCAAAGCTATCGCCAAGGCACTGGTGGGAAACCATTTCATCCTTACTGTGACCACCATTCTGGAAAAAGGATGAGGCTGACAAGGCAGAAGCTGAGCTTTGAACTACATATCCATTAAAAATGGCATCCTTTATGTTCACTAACAGAAATATTTTTTAGTATTTAGACCATGTTTTTGTTTGTATGCTTTGTCAATGTAGAAACTTACCCAGAGCTTTCTGGAGTCATTTAAGATGTGATCTCCTTGTGGAATGCAGAAGCTCCGAGGAAGGTATAGGGCCTTGGTTAAAGGAAAAATCATTTACACTGCTTAAAATAATTTACAACATTTTGAAATATTCACTATATTTAAGCATATCAGACAGAATTTCCATAGTTTGACAAGTGTTCCTTGAAGACTGTGGGTGAGAGTGACAGAATTGTCTCCACAGTAAGACTTGACCATTTTCAGGTCCTCCAACTTTAATTCAGCATTGAGTGAAATAGCAGTGTAAATAACTGATATTGTTCTATGATAGCAATGGCCAGGTATTCAATGTATTTTAATCAGGCCTGGTGAGAAGGCTCAGGATTTTTTTTCTGAATAGCGCCATTCTAAAGATAGGCCTGGCACGGATTTACTGGGGGAAGTACAAGGCAGTTGTAGCCTCCCTCCTGGTATTGTCCACACGTTTCATGCGATGTGGGACAGGGGAAGATCTGCACCGCTGGGCAGCATCCATCCTTCAGTACGATAGTTACGACCACTGATGTGACATAAACTTTAT